ATAATCTTGGAGAAAATGGTAATAAATCTTGGAGAAAATGATCATAATAAATCTTGGAGAAAATGATGATAAATCCTGGAGAAAATGATCATAATAAATCCTGGAGAAAATGAGAATAAATCTTGGAGAAAATGATAATAAATTCTGGTGAAAATGATAATAAATTCTGGAGAAAATGAGAATAAATCTTGGAGAAAATGATCATAATAAATCTTAGAGAAAATTATAATAAATCTTGGAGAAAATTATAATAAATCTTGGAGAAAATTATAATAAATTCTGGAGAAAATGAGAATAAATCTTGGATAAAATGAGAATAAATCTTGGATAAAATATTAACCAATTATCTTGAATAAAATGATCGTAATCTTGTCTAAAACAATAACAATGCAATTCTGGCATCATTGAGAAGATCATTATTTTACACACCCTTGGGATCAGCGTGTGCCCCTCAGGACTGTTCTCCCAACACCCCCAGAGCTCCAGGCTGGATTTTCCCCCTTTCCCTGCAGACATCATCATCCCCGAGAGCGGCGAGCCCGTCAGCTCCAAGGACATCAAGCGCTGCATCCAGCAGATCCAGGAGCTGATCATCTCCAGGCTGAACCAGGCTGTGGCCAACAAGCTGATCAGCTCCGTGGATTACCTGAGGGAGAGCTTCGTGGGCACCCTGGAGCGCTGCCTCAAGAGCCTGGAGGAGTCCTGGGAGGGCTCCGTGCACCCGCCCCGGGGGCTGGAGAAACCCCGCGAGGGATCCGTGCACATCACCAGCAACTATCTCAAACAGGTGGGGAATGGCTGGGTTTTGGGGTGCTGGAACTGCCATGGGCCTGAATTTGGGGGAAATGGTCAAATCATGGCTATGAGATGACATAGTAAATCAGTCATCTCATAGACCTGTGAAAATAATCAAATTTTGCCTTAAAACCACCTAAAAGCTCTGGACAAACCCCAGGGATGGATCCGTGCACATCACCAGCAACTATCTCAGACAGGTGGGGATTGGGGTGGTGGAACTGTCACGGGCCTGAATTTGGGTGAAATGGTCAAATTATGGCCATAAAATACACATTAGATAATACAGCATATCAATTAGCTCCTAAATCTGCATAAATAATCAAATTATGGCCATAAAAACACCTAAAAGCTCTGGAGAAACCCCGTGATGGATCCGTGCACATCACCAGCAACTATCTCAAACAGGTCTGGAATGGCTGGGATTGGGGTGCTGGAGCTGTCACGGGCCTGAATTTGGGTGAAATGGTCAAATTATGGTCATAAAATACCTAAAAATTCTGGAGAAACCCAGGAGGGCTCTGTGCACCCGCCCTGGTGGCTGGAGAAACCATGCACATCTGTGCACATCACCAGCAACTATCTCAAACAGGTGGGGATTGGGGTGGTAGAACTGCCATGGGCCTGAATTTGGGTGAAATGGTCAAATTGTGGTCATAAAGTACCTAAAAACTCTGGAGAAACCCAGGGATGGATCCGTGCACATCACCAGCAACTATCTCAAACAGGTCTGGAATGGCTGGAGTTTGGGGTGCTGGAACTGTCACAGGCCTGAATTTGGATGAAATGGTCAAATCATGGCTATAAGATGACATAGTAAATCAGTTATCTCATAGACCTGTGAAAATAATCAAATTTTGCCATAAAATACCTAAAAACTCTGGAGAACCCCAGGGATGGATCTGTGCACATCACCAGCAACTATCTCAGACAGGTGGGGACTGGGGCTGCAATGGCTGGGATTGGGGTGCTGGAACTGCCACGGGCCTGAATTTAGGTGAAATGGTCAAATTGTGGTCATAAAGTACCTAAAAACTCTGGAGAAACCCAGAGATGGATCCGTGCACATCACCAGCAACTATCTCAAACAGGTCTGGAATGGCTGGGGATTGGGGTGCTGGAACTGCCACAGGCCTGAATTTATGTGAAATGGTCAAATTGTGGTCATAAAGTACCTAAAAACTCTGGAGAAACCCTGTAAGGGATCCGTGCACATCACCAGCAACTATCTCAAACAGGTGGGGATTGGGGTGCTGGAACTGCCATGGGCCTGAATTTAGGTGAAATAAGCAGTTCAGGGTCATAAAACACATATGAGATAATCAATTAGCTGCTAAATCTGTATAAAATTATCAAATTATGGTCATAAAAGCACCTAAAAACTCTGGAGAAAGAGAAACCCCACGAGGAATCTGTGCACATCACCAGCAACTATCTCAGACAGGTGGGGATTGGGCTGGAATGGCTGGGATTTGGGGTGCTGGAACTGCCATGGGCCTGAATTTAGGTGAAATAAGCAGTTCATGGTCATTAAACACACATGAGATAATAAATTAGCTCCTAAATCTGTATAAAATTATCAAATTATGGTCATAAAAGACATATGAGATAATCAATTAGCTGCTAAATCTGTGTAAAATTATCAAATTATGGTCATAAAACCACCTAAAAGCTCTGGAGAAACCCAGGGATGGATCCGTGCACATCACCAGCAACTATCTCAGACAGGTCTGGAATTGGGCTGGAATGGCTGGGATTTGGGGTGCTGGAACTGCCATGGGCCTGAATTTGGGTGAAATGGTCAAATTGTGGTCATAAAGTACCTAAAAACTCTGGAGAAACCCTGTAAGGGATCCGTGCACATCACCAGCAACTATCTCAGACAGGTGGGGATTGGGGTGCTGGAACTGCCATGGGCCTGAATTTGGGTAAAATGGTCAAATCATGGCTATAAGATGACATAGTAAATCAGTTATCTCATAGACCTGTGAAAATAATCAAATTTTGCCATAAAACCACCTAAAAGCTCTGGAGAAACCCCGTGATGGCTCCGTGCACATCACCAGCAACTATCTCAAACAGGTCTGGAATGGCTGGGGATTGGGGTGCTGGAACTGCCAGGGACCTGAATTTAGGTGAAATAAGCAGTTCATGGTCATAAACCACACATGAGATAATCAATTAGCTCCTAAATCTGTATAAAATTATCAAATTAT